AGTCCATCTTTAGTCTATCTTTAGTCTATCTTTAGTCCATCTTTAGTATATCTTTAGTCCATCTTTCATCTATCTTTAGTCTATCTTTAGTCCATCTCCAGTCTATCTTTAGTTTATCTTTAATCTATCTTTAGTCCATCTTTCATCTATCTTTAGTCTATCTTTAGTTTATCTTTAGTCCATCTTTAGTATATCTTTAGTCCATATTTAGTCTATCTTTAGTCCATCTCCAGTCTATCTTTAGTCTATCTTTAGTCCATCTTTCATCTATCTTTAGTCTATCTTTAGTTTATCTTTAGTCCATCTTTAGTATATCTTTTTTCCATATTTAGTCTATCTTTAGTCCATCTCCAGTCTATCTTTAGTTTATTTTTAATCTATTTTTAGTCCACTTTTAGTCCATTATAAGTCTTTTTAGTCCATCTTTACATCACCTTTAGTCCACCTTTAGTCTGTCTTTAGTCCATCTTTATTCTTAGTCCATCTTTAGTCTATATTTAGTCCCTCTTTAGTCTATCTTTAGTCTATTTTAGCCTATATTTAGTCCATCATTAGTTTTAGTCTATCTTTAATCTATCTTTAGTCCATATTTAGTCTTTCTTTAGTCCATGTTTAGTGCATCTTTAGTCTATCATTAGTCTTAATCCGTCTTTAATCTATCTTTAGTATAGCTTTATTCTATTTTTGTCGGAGAACTCCACTGAAGTGTGTGAGAACTTCCTAAGCTTTTTTACCAACAAGGCTGCAAACATTAGAGCTCTCATAAGCCCTCCTTCTTTTGACTCCTCCATCTCTGTCACACGCTCTGCTGTTTTCAGTCAGTTTGAGCTCGTCACCCTGCGTTTTTTAAAAGACATCACTGGTCATTGAAATCTGCTGGATCTCCAAACGATCCCATCCCACCTCGTCTTTTTAAAGAAGTTTTTCACACGGTGGCTCCTTTTGTGTCCCAAATCATAAATGGCAGCTTGACAAGTGGACAGGTACCTGCGAGTTTTAAACATGCAGTTGTGACACCACTGATTAAAAAACCCGGTCTTGACTCTACAGACATGTCCAATTTTAGGCCAATTTCTAAACTGCCCTTTGTGTCGAAGATCTTGGAGAAAATATTTTACAGTCAGTTAACATCATACTTAAACGACCACAACCTTCTTGAACTGTTTCAATCCGGTTTTAAAACTCACCACAATACTGAGTCGGCACTGTTGAAAGTTTTTAATGACATTCTTGTAGCCACAGACTCTGGTCACTGTAGTTTTGATGCTGCTGGACCTAACTGCTGCCTTCGACACAGTGGACCATCAGATCCTCCTGTCTCGTCTGGAGAACTGGGTGGGCGTTCAGGGTCCTGCTCTACAGTGGTTTAGATTATATTTATCTGAGAGAAGCTTTTGTGTGTGCTTTGGTTCTGTGGAGTCCTCTGAAGCACCTCTCACATGTGGAATACCTCAGGGATCTGTACTTGGCCCCCTTCTGTTTTCCCTTTATTTACTACCTCTGGGATATATTCTCCGGAAAAATGGTATTTCTTTTCATTTTTACGCTGATGACATCCAAATCTATATTCCTTTGAAACAAGATAAACAGTATGCCTTGAACCAACTCCTGGAATGTATGGCGGAAGTCAGAGCATGGACGTCACAGAACTTTTTACACTTTAATGAAAAAAAGACGGAGGTCTTGTTGTTTAAGCCCAGTGGTGGTTCCAAAGTCCATGTTGATCTGGGTCCTTTAACCAAACATCTGACTGAGACAGCAACCAACCTATGATTTTAAACTGGATGCTCAGATTAAATCTGTGGTCAAGTCCAGCTTTTATCATCTGAGACAACTGGCCAAGGTGAAACCATTCCTGTCACAACATCATTTTGAGATTTTAATCCATGCTTTCATCACAACTTGTCTGGACTATTGCAATCCACTTTATGTGGGTCTGAGCCAGTCGTTACTGACTCGACTTCAGCTGGTTCAGAATGCTGCTGCTGGCACCAGAAAACAAGAGCACATCACCCTTGTCCTAAAATCACTACACTGGCTCCCAGTTCGTTTCCGGATTAATTTTAAGGTTCTTTTGTTTGTATTCAAGTGTCTTCATGGTCTCGCCCCACAGTATCTGTCCGACCTTCTCCAGCCGTACATTCCCTCACGCTCTCTCAGATCAGCTGATCAGCTGCTGTTGGCCGTCCCAAAGTCCAACAGGAGGCTGAGAGGTGACCGAACATTCTCAGTCGCTGCCCCTGAACTGTGGAACGAGCTGCCTCTGCACGTCAGACAAGATGACTCACTTCCTGTTTTTAAATCTGCTCTGAAGACTCATTTTTTCTCTTTGGCTTTTAACGCAGCTTGAAATGTTGGTTTTACTGTTTTATGTTATTTGTTTTATTGTTGTTACTGTTTGCTGCTTTATGATTTGGTAGTTCATTACTTTTATGGTATTTGTTGAGTTCATAGTTTTTATTCTTGTATGTGTTGGTGTACAGCACTTTGGCCAACGCTGTTGTTTTAAAGTGCTTTATAAATAAAGTTGTATTGTATTGTATTTTAGTCTATTTTTAGTCCATCTTTAGTCTTAGTCCATCATTAGTCTATTTTTAGTCCATCTTTAGTCCATCTCCAGTCTATCTTTAATTTATCTTTAATCTATTTTTAATCTATCTTTAGTGCATATTTAGTCCATCTTTAGTCTTAGTCCATCTTTAATCTATCTTTAGTTTAGCTTTACTCTATTTTAGTATATCTTTAGTCTATCTTTAGTTCATCTTTAGTCTATTTTAGTCTATTTTAGTATTTATTTAGTCTATTTTTAGTCCATCTTTAGTCTTAGTCCATCATTAGTCTATCATTAGTCCATATTTAGTATATCATTAGTCCACCTCTACTCCTGTTCATCATTTTTTAACAAACTCAAAGCTTTTCATGCCTGTTGTTCGTCTGCCAGGCAGCTGGTGTCTTAAGGTCCAAAGCTGGCTATGTTATTGGCCCACTTGGTCAGAACCCTGACCCAGTTTATTTTCTAGCCTCCAACCGCACAACTCAACCTTCAGATAGACCCAGTCTTTTATCCTCACCTTCCTATCTCTGAACAAACCTGCAAACAGACTCCATTATGGTTTGATTCAAACTAGCGATGGTTACTCTTTAATAAAAGTGTTTTCTTTGTAGTTTCCAGTTCAGAGGATTGTTCCTTTGGGAGAATAACTCTCTGATGGCCTCAGATGTGATTACAGGTTTGATCAGACCGTGTTTGTTGTTTCACTTGTGACGTGTTGATGCATCAACCTGCGACTGAAGAGAAGGATGAGCCGATTCCCTGCAGAGAGCGGGCGAAGAACAGCAGAGCGTAGGTCCCTGAGAAAGCAAACACTGACACAAGCACAGTCGGAGTCAGAAAAACTCTGGAAACACGCCGGCACTGTCAGAACGTTTCTGAGAGAAACAACTTACTTATGGTGGAAACAAACATGATGATGAAACCTGCAAACATGGGGATGTGGTAACCAATCCTGCACACACACAGGAAGTTATTCTGAGTTTAATTCAGTAAAAATGATGTGTGGAAGAGGAAACTGAGTTTATACAACATAAACTGCTCAGTCCTGATACCTGTTGGTGAGCGGGCCGACAAACGGGTTGACCAGCAACTGGACGAGAGCTTTGGAGGCAAACAACAAACCAACACGAACGTTTTCCTCCTCCAGGAAAACACTGTCCTGAAGACAAGAAGACTCCTTCAGGATGGAAGGAGAAACAAAAGAAGGGAAAAAAGAAGAAACAATAAGGAGAGGAAAGAAAACAGGAAAGAAAGGATGGATAAAAGGTGAGGAAAGGAGGTAAAAGAAGGGCAAGTGAAGGAAAGAAACAAGAGAAGGAAACGTGTCATGAATCAGAGAACAAGATCCAAAAGTGTCTGATCCTGAGTCCACCTACGGTAGCGTTGGTGGTCTCGTTGTCCTGCAGCAGCTCTGTGGTCAGCCCGGTCCAACCCATCAGATCAGGGGTTGCTTCTGTCTGGACCTCCTCCAGGTCAAACGTGGTGTTGTCAAACAAGGACACCAGAGGAGGCAGATGGGGGCCTTGCTGAGCCACCGTACCCAGACTCGGTGCCCTGTGGTCAGGTCTGGGGAGCTGGGAGCTCCAGCTGGAGGTCTGGAGTTTGGCGCTGAAGGAGGGAGCCTGTGAGGTCCTGGCGTCCAGCTGTGATGTACTGAGGCTGGGCAGAGCAGTCTGTGGTTCTGGATGTTCCATGGCGTAGAGGAACGTCGGAATGATCGGCACTGAAAGAAGAGTACTGACCCGTTACCCGGTTGGACCAATCAGACCTTACTGACTTTATGTTGGAGTTATGAAGGTCATGGTGACCTTTAGTCAGAAGAAGGTGGTTCTGTTGTCCACTTCTAAAGAAGGATTTTGAATAAAGTGCTGGAAAAAAATCTGATCTAAAAAAACTGAATCATGAATGAAAAGACAAAAATCAGAGAAGGAGCAAAGAGTCCACTTTAAAGGTCAGGTTCAGAAGGTGCGCTCTGGGTGGGACCTCCTCTGAACCTGCAGCGAGCTGAGTCTAACAGCGAAGGACAACATGGACCCCGAGGCTTCAGCTGCGTCACAGCTCTGCTCCTGAACCATAACCAACCCTCCGCACCGACACGTCCACTCGTGTCCTGCCTCCTGACGTCACTCCCTCAGTGTTGGCCGTAGTTGGCGTAGTTTGTTTGTCAGGTCTGAAAGTTTTTATTAATTTATGAACTCCATTAATAAAGACCTAATACCAGCCATGTTTGTGAGGCTCAGGTACAAAACATAAATCCAGAGATCAGAGTCTGCAACATGAGGAGACATGTCATCATTTTGCGTTTGTGTTGTTTTGTTAGTGGACTACTCACCAACCACAGTGAGCAGCATGTTGTCGAGCAGCAGGGCGACGCACACCACCACCAGGACCAGTCTGGGAGAACCTCGGCTCTGATGGAGCCACGCCATGTCTGCGCCAGAACCACAGAACCCTCCGTCATCGCAGTGTGTAAAACATGCAGCTGTCAGAAGTTTAGTTTTGACTTTACTTTTCTGTCTCTGAAAACAACTCGTTCTTGTGCTAACACAACTTTAACCTAAACTTTGGCTCAGATTTCTGACGGGACTTGATTCTTTTTTCATTCAACCTTCACTCCTACAGGTGAGTCTCATTGAGCCTCGAGGACTCATTTACAACAGACACCTGTTTTAAACAAAGACTGATGACAACAGTGGACAATTAAAAAGCTTATAAATTGAAAAGTAAATGGAACATAGTGATATTAAAAAAACAGCAACATTTTAAAGTGATATAAATACTAAAAACAGGAACATTTACCTCATGCTTCAAACACATCAATGATTTTTATGTCTCGTGTTTCAGAAAGCATCTACAGGATGAGTCCAGCTACAGGTAGGAGGTGGAACACCTGGTGCAACCTTCACATCAATGTGAAGAAGATGAAGGAGATGGTCGTGGACTTCAGAAGGAACAAACACACCTACCCTGCACCCCCTCCTTCCTGTGTGCATGTTTGTCCATGCAAGGTTTTATCTTAAGCCCCCCACCGTGATGGACGAGAAAGCACACCTTACACATATGATAAACTTAAAGAGGCAAAATGGTTCTGTGATTTCCTTTAGCCTTGCACTCTTGACATGTTTGGAGGGGGCTACATCCTCGACATGCCACATGTCCTTTTATTGATAATTTCTTCGCAATTTCCAGAACATGAGTGAGGTTTAAATAGTTAAGATGAATTATTTTTATTATTTATTAACTTTATTTAACCAGGCAAATCAGACTTAGATCACAGACCTCTTTTACAAAGGAGGCCTGAGCCTAACATGCATGTTTTTGATCTGTGGGAGGAAACCGTAGTATCCGGAGAAAACCCACACAAACACGAGAAGAACATGCAAACCCCACTCAGAAAGACCCCTGGTCCAACCTGTAGATTAAAGGTTGCATGTATGTAGTTTTTTTGTTGTTGTCAGTTTCACTCCAGTCGTCTACCTGAAACGTCCAGTTTTTGTTTTGTTTGAACTTGTAGTCTCACTCCTTTATATTACTTCTGATTTTTATTAAACTATTAAACTAATCAGATACTCCAGATGTTAGTCCGATCCTGCAGCCTCCAGCTGCTCTCAGATTGCTAAATCAAGATTTGGTGAAGTTTTAACATCTGGATCATAAAACCAACCATGAATATGACAACAGTTTATTACATCCTGACAAATATACATGTTTCTTTTTTCTACGGAGGCCTGCAGAGTCCAAAACTAATAAAACCCTGCAGTGAACATGGCACCAACATCACAAAGCTTTACTAAAGATACCGTGTGCAACTGTTAAATATTTATCCATTCTCTTTTACCCGCTTCTTCTATTTTGGGTCATGGGAGTCGCTGGTGTCCATGTCCAGCAGTCACTGTGCGAGAGGCGGGGGACACCCTGGACAGGTCTGCAGTCCATCACGGGGACACAGAGACAAACGAGACAACCATTCTCTCAGACAATTTAGAGTTACCAGTCAGTCTAACATGCATGTTTTTGGTATGTGGGAGGAAAGTACACGGAGAGAACACGCAAACTCCACCCAAAAAGGCCCTGGGACTGGGATTTGAACCAGCAGCCTTCATGCTGAGCGACAGCAGCTCTACCAGTTGCGCCACCGTGTCGCCCATTGTTAAATGTATTCACAGATATAGTGGAGACATTACTCCCCTCCACACGCTGTTTGCACTGCCGTGTTAAAAGTAACAAATGAGAACAAAGTTAGTTTTTACATTTATAAAGATCTTTAATCTTTCTTGGAGAACTTCTGATGGAGATGATGACGACCTGACGACATGGACATGTCATCAGGTTTATTCAATGTCGGCTGTTTTCTGTTTGCTTATTATTTTAGCTGTTTTTTCTGCTTCGGTAACATGATTACCCCTCGTGCACGCACCTCCTTTCCCCTCTTATCTCCGTCCATCTCGTTTGTTCGGCTCCACCTCCCTCCCTCCTCTGACTTCTGTTTGATGCTAAATTGATCTGAAATGTAATTTTGCATCTGAATCATTTGTTCAGTGCAGCAGAGAAAATCTAGCAGAGCTTTTTTTTCCCACAGAAAAATTTAATTAAACTTAAAGTTTAAAATCTTTACTTTTTCTAAACAAGTAAAACCTCATCGGTTCTTGATTGATGCACGTCAAGAGATCTATTAAGAAATTAATCAAAATTACTCAAACTAAATGAATTACTACTGACAACAGAAAATATGAAAACTGATTAAATTTAAATCAAAACAATCAATGAAACACAAAAAGCAAAGTATCCTACAAAACATACAATAAAAGTAAATTTTTAATAAAATTCAATGCAAAGAATGAATAAGATGTTCAGAATGAGAGAGAAATAACAAAAGTTGAATTAGGTATTAAATTTAAAAATCTAACTCGGCTGATCAACGATCAGGTTAGAAAAATTATGAGAAATATATAAAAGCGGATTATTCAAAACTAGCTCAAAATCTAAATCTGACAAAATAAAACTTCATTTGGAATAAAAATAAACACATTCTGAAAATTTAACATAAAGAAAAACAACGAAATGCAGGAAATTAGATTTTTTTTTCCAAATAAACTTTAAAGAAACTAAACCTGATCTTGTCTCAGAAGCCAAATAAAATATTTTATAAAAATATTTTAAAGTAAAATCTTAATGAAAAATACAGAAATTTGATTTCTACTTTTTAAAATGTATTTAATATTATTTTGTAAGAGTCGTCCACAGACAGCTGTGTCCTACCTGAATCAGAAGTGATGCTGCTGCTCGTCTCCGTTCAGCTCTTCAGATATAAATCCAACCGGGGGCGGAGGAGACAGGCAGGTGGATGTTTCCTCGTTTTATTCTTATCGTGATGAAACCAGACGTCATGGACACACACACACACACACACACAC